CTAATGTGTCCTATTAAATTGCTAATTATATATGTTCACCCCACGTCGACTTATTTTCCTTTTTAATTTCCACTTATTGCTTTCAAGAATAAATCAAAGTGAGATCAAGCAAAACCATTATCTTGAAACTCTATATTCCCTCCGTCCATGTGAGGTAGTTTGACTCGCACTAAGTTTAAGAAAAAAAGAAAGATTTTTTAAACTTGTGGTCTAAAATGAATTGATAGAAATTTGTGTGGCTATAAATTTTCTCATTAAGGGTAAAATAAATATTTTAAAGTTAAATTTTTATTTACTATAGAAATGTGTCATTCTTTTGGGAACTGACTAACAAGGAAAGGAAGTCATATAAATTGGGACGAATGAAGTAGTAAATTTCAATTGAGACAAAAAACGTCAAATGATTTTTTTTTATTTTCTTCGTTCGAGCTCAGTTTAAATTATTTAATTAATGTTATGCTTATTTTTTTATTAAATGGTGTCGATATTTATAGAAAAAAAAAGATAAGAATTCAATTATCATATTTATAAGTAAAATATATTCTTAATCCATTGATTTAGTTTGATTTATTTTTTTAAGATAGAAAGGTGTTGGTTTCAATACTACTTAACCACAATTTAAAGCAATAGTATGTCCTACTTTGCAAAAATATGTTTAGGTTAAAGTACAAACCTCCAACCTCAAAGAACAAAACAGTATTTTTATATATGAATACAGAAAAGGATCAAAATGTCATTTCATTTCATAAATAATCTAAAAATATCCTTCTTTCATCTATTAAAAAAAAGTGCCATCAAAATTTTTTTAGATCTAAAATTATCCTTTTCTAACCGCATAATAATATTGCAGTTGATGTGGCTTTATCTTTTAACCTAATCAATTTATAGTAATAAAACGATAAGCACCAAATACAAAATTACAAATTATAGTCGTGTATAAAATAAAGGGAAAAATGACAAATATACTTCTGAACTATTGTAAATGGTATGCAGATATCCTCCGTCATACTTTTGGGACATTGATGCCCCAGCCGTAAAAAAACTAGACCATATATGCTCTTCACTCTAACGGAAGACTAAATAAGGATACGTGACACAATCTTATTCGCTGCTTTATATATTTATTTATTATTATATGATATAAAATATAATAAAACCATGATGCCAAAAGCATAAAGTAAAGGCTATAAAGACCCAACTTTTTATAGAGCGGCTTCGTTTTTGTACACTATTTTGGAAGTTTCTCAACCATCCCCCCATTTTCTTCTTGCCACTTACTTTTTCTATCCACCATTCTTTTCTTCTAGTTTTTGTCTTTGGAATTTTTTTATTAAACCTATATATATAGAGAGATGCTCAATATTAATTCATTCACCACAACTCACAACCCTACAATAATCACATCAAAGTCACAATCATAATCCTACAAATCTAATTGGAAAAGGGTCTACCTTGTGGAGCCCCCTCAGTATTTTAACTATTTATGAGGAGAAATTATTAAGTGGATGATATATAACTAATTTGAAATGAACTCTAAATTCTAAAATAAATTAAAGTGCAAATAATATTGTCCAAATGCCTATCAATGTCATATACTATCATATTTAAATATTCTAATTGCACAGGATATATGTCGCCTTCCGACCTCTATTCACCAAAGCTAATACAGATAAAAAAGAGTTACCTAGTATCTTTTGTTTCCATTGAATTTTGAATCATATACTATCATATTTTAGTAGACGTTTGGCATGCAAGTTCAGCTTGTGATTCAAACTTATGAAATAAAATTTGTGTTTGGAAATGCAATTGTATTTTATAATTTTAAATCATGAGATGAAATTTCAAATTCTCTAAAAACTTGGTTTGGAAATTTCATATCACGATTACACATTTTTCAATACAAAAATTGCACAAGTTTATATTATTATTTTTTAAAAAATCTTTTATATCTACACAATTTTATATGAGAGAAATTAATTAAAGGAGTGATGAAATATTTACGGAATATGAATAAGATGATATAGTTACTAATGATACTAACCATGTTCAATTTTATTAAAGAGTAGTATACTACAACTCATTTTTAATTTAATATATTTTTTATTAAATTAAAATTCGGTGAATAAATATTGTATTCTTTTTAGTATAACTTTGTGATAGTGTATTATATTTTCGTTATAAACTTTTGCTTATTTGATAAGATTGTATAAATAATTGAGACAATTTTAATAGTTTTCACTATTTATATAAGAGTTTTTTTTTATGTTTATGAGCAAAAAATATAACTTCAAAATACTAATTGCATGTCAAACAAAACTTTAATTTCATCTCATATAATAGATCATTAATCTATATATTCTACATTTTTTTGTATATCTTAAAAATATTTAATTTTTTCTTAGTTAGTAAACTTTTCAGCTCCAACGATCTACATATTTTAATTTCTTATTTAAATTTTTAAAAAACGATACTTGTTTTGAAATGGAGAAAGTAACCAACAGTTAAACGGTATATATCAAACCAAACACAAATTATCAGACGTTGACTGTCAATTAACCAATTAATAACTAACATAGAAATCATCAAATTAAGATCTAATTTGATGAATTACCAATTGAGTTTTTTCTAATCATAGATAAAATTATAAATGTGTGATGATAACGTTTGAACCTTAAACTCATTACGTTACTCGTTATTGCAACTCAACGTCCTTGCTATTCCATATTGCTTGCTCCATAAGTAGTTCTTAATAAAAGATTAATTAAATAAAATTATTTAATAAAAGATGAAGTCAAAATTATAACATTGAGTGTTATGTTGGATAAAACAACTGTTACATTTGATTTCATTCATAAATTTATTTATTTTCTAGTTATTTAAGAAAAATAATGAAATTTTTTAAATTAAGTTTCCTAAGTTTGACCGCAATAAAACAATTCAAAACGTTTTTTAATCTAGTATATAGAATAATATGCTACAAAGCTGAATAAATACTTTGATCCAGTAAGTTGCTTTCAATTTGAAGAAAAGAAATTGAAGAAGACAGCTCAATTGGTTAACAGGAGCAGCTTTGTCTGAATATTTTATGTGTTCATAACCAATATACTTTAATTATTTGTGAAGATCTCTTTAAACAAGCATAAGATTATTGCCAAATCTCGTTTATTATGAAAAATCATTTGATCATGATATTATTTAGAAAATATTTTTTATTTGTATTTACGCCTCTTTAAAATTAGTAATATTATATTATCTCATTTACATCACATCGAGATAATACAAGATTACTAATTGTGAAATTACATATTCATTTTCTCCAAAACTTTTTTCTTAAATTATTTTAAGAAATTAAAGTTAATATTAAAATTACAAATAAAATGTATCCAATCTAATGTAATTTGATTTTGCATTCACTCTAAATTTCACTATTTGAAATAGATATCTTAAAAATCTAACCCTATGTGCTTTTTAATTTTTCATCCACGTTGAAAGCTTTAATATAATTAATTTCAAGTCAATAACAAATTTATTTTATTAATATTTATAGTCTAAAGCTAATTGATAATGATTGAAATATATTTAAATTTGAATTAATTATGACTCTTGTATTCATTTTGGTTTTTATTATTGTAAAAAAAAAAAAAAAACTTGTGTTGATTATGATCCCTTCATATCCTTACGACACGTGTACTATTACACATCTCCCACTCCAATTCATTTCCCTTTACGATGTTTCACAAAAATCTACTCAATTTACATTCGACCCCTAAAATCTTCCTTTTTCGTAATGTCTATATGATAAAAAAAAAATCAATTTAGTGTTTGTTTAATTTTAATTTAATATTGTATAATTTGTTAAAATAAATAAATTTAAAATACATTGGTAATATCAAAATGTTTTTAAATTTTGTGATGTGAAAAGTTAAAGTAAAAAAAAAAAAAATCATAAAAAGGGAATAAATATTTTTTCTAAATGGGCTAAAAAACTAAAATGAAACACAGGATTATTATCTTTTTGGCCACGGAAAAATATAGGTTCTGAAAGTCTCCTAGTGATTATAACCTCTTGGAAAATTTTTTACTCCTAAATGAGACCACTTTTTTTCATCAATCCCAAGAAAAATACTTTTCGTGTTCCATATTGAATGAATTTATTGAGGCAATCTATATTTATTACTCGACTAATGCTAAATTATCAGAAAATTTGGTTAGAATTTAGCCAGAAATTTAATGCTAAATGACCAGAAAATTTGGTTTGAATTTGGTCAGAAATTTAAAATTGTAGTATAATATTTTTTCTAATTTTAAAATAAACTAATTATTTTTCTATTTTTTAATTAAAAGATATTAAAGTTAATAAGGTAAAAATGTTCAAAAAGGTAAAATAACATAGATAAAATATCATTTTGGCCAAATTCTGGCCAAATTTTCTTACCAAAATGATTTTTCCTTATTACTCTAAGACATAATGTAAATGATATTTTTCACTGTTATTTTTTTGTGAAATAATAAATATAATTTTGTAAGTAGTATAATTTAGCTCCTAGAAAATATGAAATTTTATTAAAGGAAAGAATAAATATAAAAATATTAAAATATTTATCTTGAATTTTGAACAATGAAAAAGTTTCAAACATTCATTTAATATGCAATAGGAGTATTTATTATTTTATTACTATAATTAGAAATAATATAAATTTAAAGTTATAAATGTAATAAATTTGCAATTACACCTCACAAATTTGAATTTATTTTTTCTTAAATATCTGTCAAGTCAAATAATGTCACATGAAATAGCACGGAGGGGTGGAAAACATTTTCATTTTGATTTCCAAGGGTTGATTATTTCTAGAATTTTCTTGGACAGACTTTACTTGTGTGTACAACTTATGTGATGACACATGTTGTTACTTTCCTTCCCCAATGAAACAAAACCCCCTTTTCCCCTAGAAATACTGATCAATACATACACTACTATACATTCAAGTCTATCTCTTTTTTTTTCCTACTCATCTCTCTGTATTTTTGTTTGAAACAGCAACAAGAAGATACCCTTTTTGGGCTTTTCCTTCTTTGTTTTGTGTATATATAGAGGTAGGAGTTTGTGGGGGTGTAAAAAGATTACAACTTTGAGTAGTACCAAATGATAGGGGTAGAAGATTTGAGCTTGGACAAGCTGTTTGTGAACAATGGTAGCAGAGGTGGGGTTTGTAAAATGGGGGGTGGGGTGATGATGATGGGAGAGTGGAAGGATATACCTATGGAGTTGTTGTTGAGGATTGCTTCACTTGTGGATGATCGGACGGTGATTGTGGCTTCTGGTGTTTGTAGTGGATGGAGAGATGCAATTTCTTGGGGACTCACTCGTCTTTCCCTTTCTTGGTATGACTGACTTTTCTTGTTTCTTGATTTTGATAAAATTTTAAGGTTTATTTTGATTGTGTGGTTTTTCTTGATGTGATTGATGAAGGGTAGTTCTTGTTCTTCATTTGTTTGATTGTAAATGGTCAGGGGAGTCGAGTCAGCAAAAGACTGAATTTTTGTCTTCTAGAAGAGTTGAAGGAAATAGGAAAAATCTACAAGTTTTTATGTGTTGGACTATTTTGGTCCTGTTTACCTTGATCAATCTGTTTGAGATGTTATGTACAATTGATCAAATGGAGGAACACATGAGGTTTTCATTGTTTGTTTACTTTTTTGGAGGAAGGGGTTTGTAAATGTTGTTGAATAAAGCTTTGAGTTTGGAACTAAGGTTAGATGTTAAAAGGGGAATCATAGTAGCTCAGTGGATTGTTGACTACCTGAACTTTTTTATCTCGTTGGTGAGGAGGGTATGAGTCCCCACCTTGTAACCCCTTCTCCTTTACCCTACCTCCGTTTTGTTCTTTTGGAAAAGGTTAGATTTTTTATGTTAAAAGGGGTTGACTGAAGATTTTTTCCAATTTGGATTTGTGAGTGCCAAGACTTGGATGAGCAAAGTTAAGTTGAAAAGCTTGCCTTGCACTGGCATCAAGGGATTTGGGGGAAATGAGGAGATTAGAGAGATTAGGATAGTGATTCAACAGCCTTAATCCCATAGGTCTTATCACATGTGTTTGTATCTGAGATGCCCTAAATATGAAATATGGTCATAGCATAATGGTTATTGTTCTACTTTGTGGCTAAATTTTACCCTTTTTCCTATGTGCTTCATCCTGGACATCTGGAAGTTGATATCTATGTTTTAGTGCTCAGAAGCATTGAACCGGAGAAGATATAACTTGCATATGATTGTGCATTTGCCTTTATTTTATATTTTTCCTTTACCTTTTGAGGGCTTATTCATATGTTTCTTGCTTGCATTTTCTGGATTTGTAGTGTTGGTTTCTTACCCCCTCCTGTTTATTAGAATTTGATTGTATTTCCCTATCTTGCTGGTATTTGTAATCTGAGAGTTGATATTCTATGAATTGGGTACATAGATATTTGTGAGTTATCTTTCCCTTGTTAATTTGTGGTGTTATATCGGTTTCTAAGTTTTTTTGTCCCCTCAGGTGCAAGAGGAATATGAACAATTTAGTGCTGACACTTGCCCCCAAGTTCACGAAGCTGCAGGTTCTAACTCTTAGACAAGATTTACCACAACTTGAGGATGTTGGTGTCGAGACAATTGCCAATCACTGTCATGAATTGCAAGACCTTGATCTTAGCAAGAGTTTTAAGCTAACTGATCGTTCCCTTTATGCTTTAGCTCACGGCTGTCCAAACCTCACAAAGCTGAATATCAGTGGGTGTTCTGCTTTCAGTGATAGCGCTGTTGCATACCTAGCTGAGCGTTGCCGAAACCTAAGAGTCTTTAACCTTTGTGGTTGTGTTAAAGCTGCAACTGATAAGGCATTGAAGGTATATGTCTTGTCCTCTCAAATGACCTGTAGGAGTACTAAACTGTTGTTTCTTCCGACTTATATGACTCGTGTTACTCCTTGCAGGCTATTGGTTACTACTGTAACCGACTGCAGACTGTAAATCTAGGTTGGTGCGATAAAGTTGGTGATGAAGGTGTAATGAGTTTGGCTTATGGGTGTCCTGATCTCAGAGCCCTTGATCTGTGTGGCTGTGTCCTTATAACAGGTAAAACATGTATCTGGTTAGGTTTTGTATTTAATGTCTTTCCTTAGCAGTGGTATGTTAACTATTAAACAGTCTAAACTGACTCGGATTTGCCATGCTTATTAGGGCATAAGTTGTATTCAAGTATTCTAGAGATTTTATGCAAAAAAAATCTTACCAAAGAAAACTTATTCATGTCCTATTAGTAACTAACTAGAAGGAGATATTCATGCAAGATATTTTCTTCTAGGAAATGAAAAGTGAAACATGATTTTGATGTATACGAGGGATATGAAAGACCTTACTTTAGATTTTATATCAAATAAACTCCTATGGTTTGTGGTGTCTGAAAATGAATGATGAAATGCATATTAGGCGGAAGAAGTTTTTTTTCTATGGAGGGGTGTCCAAACTTGGGAAGTTTTCCTCAGCCGACCGATTGTTAGATGTCTCCAACTTTGTGTGGATATTTTTGTTATGAAATTTCATGATCATTGCTCTCAACCTGTTAGAGCAATGGCAACAAGATAGCAGTGTTCTAAGTAGTTTAGATTTAGAGGTCTCTGTTTCCTCTCGTTGGATTGTCGAGTGTACTCTCACCTATGTTCTACTGCCTACTTCTTGATGGGCTATTAGTTGTTTCCTTTTTCTACTGAAGTTTGAGATAAAGTTGCTGATGTTTCCAATTGGAATAATTTTTCTTGGTTTAGTCATCCATTTAACATAGCTATTATCTAATGCCTGCAGATGAGAGTGTGATTGCTTTGGCAAACAATTGCCCTCACTTGAGATCCCTCGGCCTATACTTCTGTCAGTACATCACAGATAGGGCAATGTACTCTCTAGCTCAGAGTCGGGTCAAGAACAAGCACGAGATGTGGGCATCTATGAAGAAGCACAGGTACGAGGACGAAGGGCTTATGAATCTAAACATCAGCCAATGCACTGCTCTCACACCTCCCGCCGTTCAAGCAGTATGCGAAGCATTTCCTGCTCTGCACACATGCCCTGAGCGACATTCCCTCATCATTAGCGGATGCCTGAACTTAACATCAGTGCACTGCGCCTGCTCTGTCCAAGCTCACCGTGCGCGTGTTCTCCATCCAGCTCACTGAGTGTTCTATGGAGGAGAAGTTACCAAGTTTCGAAGCCGTCATAGAGGGAGAGAAGAAAAATAGGGCGAGAAGGTTGAAACGCCCTTGTACATATTTGTTTGTGAAAAAACTATGCTGGACAATCTAGGCTGTTTAAGCCAAACAGGTTCTGTTTGTTTAATCTGTTGGACTGAACTTGTTGGTTTATGTCAAAACTCTTAATGACTCCTTTCATGTGTTTTTGAGTATTTGGTGAAAGACATTTAATTTCCTGTTTCAAAGTTCACTCCTAAAATATGGAGAAATAACTTTTTAAGTGGAGAAATTCTATTTTCACTCCTAATGAAAAAAGCTTTTCATTGCTCCTCTAGGTTAATCTATATGTTTGTATAACTTGTTTGCTTTCTTAAAAAGTTTAATGTAGGGGAAGCAAAATCAACCTATAAAATCAAGTTTGGGTAGGTTTATTTTATTAATTTAGTTCATTTCAATATGTTTGATTTTGTTAGTTTAAAAATTGAGTTATTATGCATTCCAAATTAATTAAAGTGTTTTTTTTTGGGTATTTAAATAAATTATAAGAAAATAAATGAAACAAATTGAAATTTTAACAAGAACTGAACGAAAGAATGAAAAGAAAAATATTACCAGCTTCTAGTTTTTTGACATAAAGGAAGTACCAAGAATCAACAAAAGGGGTTAAGTTATTATGTTAAGTTTTATTTCATTTAAGTTTAAGTAACTATTTGTTTATTTATTTCCGTCTATTCTTTGATCAATTAAGATTTAGTTCACTCGGTTCATTTGACACCTTTAATGTATTAGGTTTTCCGATTGACGTAAGGTTTTTTTTCAAGCATTATTAATACAGTTGGAGTTTAAGTTGTATGTACTGATTGACCTAAGGTTTTTTCCCAGCACGTTATTAATATAATTTAACTTGTGATTCTACGTCTATTTTTATCGGGTTACAATTAGCTAACTAGTGATATTTGTGTAAATATTTTCTACGTCGGTCGTGACGTAAGTGGGAAAAAGGATATTATTTGCAGAAATTACAGTAATCATATAGGTGATGAAATTAAAAAAAGAAAAAGAAAAAGAAAAAAAAAGATAGGTGATGAAATAGACATGTGAACATAAAGTTCTTAAATTGGCATTACTTTTTAGCAAATGAAAGTAATCTAAAATTAGTAAATAATAGCTATTGCTTAGTAGAACTTTGTCTCTAATTTTAGTGACATTTTCCTTCTTATGTCGCAGTTTTACTAAAATTATGGAATCATTGTTTTTGCGTAATCTAATAAACACAATCAGAAAGAAGATAATCCAACAAACTTCTATAATTGTAGAAATAATGATAGTTATGATCTACTTGACTGAAAAAACAAAGAATCAAAAAAAAAAAAAAAATCTTTTGGAGGGAATTAAAAAATTATTTTTCATACTTTTTACGTATTATTTTAAGATTTATTATGTGTAAAATAAAGATTCCTAGTGAAAAGGACATGAAATTAAAAATAAATTTGTATAATCATTTAAAACAAACATAGTATTTCATTACATGTTTTTCCAATTACAAAACAAGCTGCACAAATATTAATTGGCTTACGCCTTTTTGAGTTTTCTTTTCAATTATCCGTATTGCATAAACATTCATAAGTGGGATTGATTAATTCGAAGCTAGCTTACGGAATCGAAGCGAAGAAATTAGTTCATCCATATTATTTGCCTTTGTATACAATCTCTTCATCATCCACATCGAATGCTGGATTACACAAACATCTAAAGAGTCTACCAATTCCCTACAATATCACAGACCAAAAAAAAGTTAGTATTTATGTATTAAGATCTCATCGCCAACTTTTAGTGTAGAGTCTGAGATTTGAATTTGAAATGTTAAGATGAATTTTGAATTGCTGAGTCAACCTCTAATCTTGTATTCAGGGGAATAAAAACATTATCTTTAACTTTATGTCTCGAAATATCATTGGTTTCAATAGATAGTATATAGTAAGTAAAAGAGTAAATGGAAGCAAAAAGAGAACCTGTGTGAGTAGAGGAGTTCTATAATTTAGTGTTCTTAGTGAGTCTTCTTCATCATCACTGCTATCTGAACTAGATTCATCAGCATTAATATCGCCTATTGCCTTCTTTTTCGACGTTCCAACACACTTCTCCCTCTATAGAATAAAAAGGGAAAAAATGAAAATGTTACAATGAATTCGTATAGTAGCTCAATAACCAACAAGACAGACTTGTGTTTAGAAGGGATATGACAAGTACATTTCACAAGTTATGCTTAATCCTTACCTCAAATACTTTTCCCAAAATCTTTAAAGCCATTGCACGTTTCTTGAGTTCTTCCTTCTTCACATTGCCTTCTTGTAGTACCTGAAAGATTACTCACAAGTAACTCAAAGGTCTCTTTTCAAGAATAAGCTCGTGAAACATAGCAACATTTGATCCAAGGCTTACCAATTGGCAAACATGTAAAAGAGTCACTTCAATGTCTACGACATTTAGTTTCCACAATGAATTCATTAATGTTTCTCTGTTTAATCTTAGATGTGATTCAACGTCGTTTTCAGGGCCACTACCATCCATTTTAAACTGGCGACGAACATCTTCTTGAAGTTGTAGCAGTTGAAAAGCACCTATAAAACATTATAGTCCACTGCATCAAAGATACAACAGATATATGACAAGCAGGGGAGTACTGGATCTTGAGTGAGATAATGTAAGTTTTACCTTTTGCTGCTGTTAGCTGTGACTTCCAGAAATGACCTTTGTTGCGAACCCACTCGGCCATGAATGGAACTCCCAAGTAAATTGCTTTCTTTCCAAGCTCTTGTGCTGCCTGTCTTGTGTATATGTATCCAATAGTTTGAAGAATCTCAGCTCCAAATGCTGTTAACAGAAATGTCAGGTTCTAATTAAGATTTTTTTCTTCATTTAGCTCTCTTCTAAGGTCACAATAGATTTCACTGCATTTTCGTGTTGTGCTTATTCAATGCTGTCATTTTAACACTTGTCATGGTAAATTCTGTAAAACTTACAGCAACCAACACAAGAGTAGTGAGCTGACCTGCTTGTGAAAGCCGTTCTGCTTCAGATTCTACACGACGTATAAATCCCATTCTGTCACCACGAACGTATTGTTGAAGAAAATCTTTGAGTGTTCTAGCAAGCTTTTCTTCCCTTTCCTTTTGGACACCCTTCATAACATAGTTCTATTATAACAAAGCAAGCTATGTTCTTTTTTCTCTTGTAACAAACAGCCAAAAAAGTGGAGACATATATAATTTGAATGTTAATGACATACTTGCCTTGAGTCTATCATGGAGCTTTTCAGGGTTGTCGTTTTCGCTGACTAATTCAGAGGAAGCCATTGATGCAACAGATAGATGTCCGATGTAGTCTTCAAAAAGTTCGCTCCCAAAGAGGAGGGCAAACACAGCAGTTGGATCAAGCATAGTTTCCCTACAAAGAGAACATCAAAATTAGTATTGATGGTAATAGAAAAAAACATCTTTTTACATAGAAATTTGTGAATTAGCAAACTACTTGCATTTATCATCTTAAGGGTTGCTGGCTAGGAAGAGAGTTATTCATGTTTTAAAACTAACAAAATTAATACCATGTATTTGGCACTCTGCACACCAAGTATGGTGTTTGGTTATCGTTTTACAATCCCACATAAATAAAGCATGTATACATTTTGAGTCAATTTATGTACAATTATATGCAAAGTAGAAGATGGAATAACTAAACCTAGCATAACTAATCTTTGTATTATTAATACCTGCATAAGTCTAACGAACAACCAAATAAAATTCAGAAGAAGCATTTCTAGAAAGATTACCTGGAGACACATGACTTTCCATTTTGATCATATACATTTCTCTGTACTGGATCACTCAAAACCTGATATGCCTCTCCTAATTCCTGTTTTTTACAATTTAAAAACATTAAAAAAAAAAAAAACAGATAATTTTTTGCCTAAATTTTACCGAAAAGTGAACATAAAATAAGCAACAAACAATGTGTTTGCCTGAAATCTTTGTGCAGCAAGAGGATCATCTGGATTTTTATCAGGGTGAACTTGCCTGGCCTGCACCACAAGATGAAAAAACAGATTTCCAACATCATTTAACAAATCAGAAAGGATAAGACATTTTCCATTACCATTTGTACTTCAAATCAAAATGAAAGTAGATGAAACAAATCTTCATTTCCAAAACAAACATCCCAAGAATCATACTACTTGGATCCATTTATCAAATTCTATAAGTTTAAACAAATGAAACTTAAACAATACTACTCTCCCTATCTTAATTTATGTAGCAAAGTTAAAATTTCGAGAGTCAGCCAAATTTTCTTTTTGACTAGAATTTCTTTTAAATTGTTACTTATCATGATTTACCGCGCTTTTTACATTGTTTTCAAATATATTCATTTTATATCAAAAAACATAAAACTTTTGTGTCCAGATTCACACCATCAAAGTTTAGAAGTTTGAATCTCGAAATTCCAACTAATGCCAAGTAAATTAGATCAACTCCAACAGTCTAAAAAACTGCACAAAATTCAAACATAGAAAGTAAATAAACAAAACAAATGAAGGAAATTCAAAAACCTTGAGATAATATGCCTTGCGAATTTCCTCTTCAGATGCTATAGGACTTACACCAAGAACATCATAATACTCTGTCTCTTTCACCATTTTCTTTTCTTTTTTCAAAATCCCAATTAACAAAAAACTACTCTTTTACCTCCTCCAATACTCTAATCACCCTTTTTACGCGGTTCTAAAATCTTGATGCAAGAGCGGAAAACCACTTGACAGTAAGTAAAGGAAACAAACCAAACGAAAAAAAAAAAAACTCTGAAAATTGTATGATCTTGTAAGGACAAAGAAGAAAGAGGAGGGGGTGAGTGGGGTGTTTTAGAGGGGGGGGGGGGGTGGGGTATGATGAAAAGAATGTCACAGAATAAGAGAGTGCCCCCACGAGACAAAGCTGCCTTTCCAGTTCTGATCAACGAATTAATTAAGGCTTTTCGCGGGAGAAAAACACTATTTTAACTGTCACTTTGTGCCTTTCATCATTTTATCAACTACTCTTTTCAAACTTCTACTTTTTTGCTTCATGGGCTCTGGGCTCTTTTCTCTTCTTTAATGGGCTTTATTTTTTTCTGGGGGCCCATTTTCTTGGTGGTGTCTTGGACCTACCTTATCCAATTGTGTTGTCACTCACTTGAAACAATAATTGTGGACCAAAATATAGATATAGATGCAGAGCACTTAAAATCTGTTGCTTGTCGATACTCTAAAAATAGTGTATTTTTGGAGAATCTGACATGAGTGAACGCACAACTTAGCTTAAAATGTCTTAGTCCAAAAGGAATGTCCCTTGATGCCATAAACAAAAAATACCATGTCTGCTTTTTATTCAATAATAATAATACAAAGATGACTGATCCAAACAATTTTAAGCTCAAGCGCAAATGTTATAAGAAGGTAAGATAAGAACTAATCTCACAATATTACAGGTAAATCGTTTTTTTTCTTCCTGTTTTTCAATTTTTATCACTATAATATTTTGTATTCCAAATCTTTAAGATCCTCATCCATTGGTATGGTATAGAAGAAGTGTTCAATTTGCTCGACCTCGCCCTGTGTCTCGTTTCCTCTCTTTATTGGAGCTAGGCTCTCCTTGTAATTGAAAACCCAACAGCCAGCAATGTTAAGGTCCAGCTGAAATCCAAGATCTGTAACTTGTCTTGTTGTAGGGTCATATAGCACCAGCTGTGAAGTTTCTGTGATCTCAAAAACCATCTTATCGTTATCCCAGATGTTGCGAGGCCAATGAGCATCTATATGAGGTTGTACAGTTAGAACTTTGGACCAAATTCCCTCTTGTTTCAATACCCACACATCATATATGGATGTCATAGGTTTGCCAGGGTCACCGGTTAATAAAGCAAGTGAGTTGCCACGCAATGTAAGCGTCCCCCAATGTTCACTTGGAATATCTGGGACTTGCATCTCCCTAAACTGTTCGCTGCCCATGTCAAAAGAGCGAATCGTGTAGATCTCATCAAGGCCCCTAGAAAGCCAATAATAAACCCCGTTGAGATAAGTGGTGTCAAGGGGTGCAGATAAGGTAGAACTGGAAGGGAATTCAGGAGTTAGATGTTTCCATGAGTTGTTGCATGAGGAATAGACACAGGCATAGACACGAGGATAAACACCTTGTCCCGGTTCATCCCAGAATACTCGAATCCATACAACCTTATAATCTTGAGTCAACAGGTCAAATCCCAATCCGAACTGATGATCATGGTCCGAGAAAAAGTACTCAATCTCAAAAGGCGCAGGAGGCAGAGGCCTGAACTCTCTGGTGGCAGGATTCCACAAACCCAAGCAGACATCGTCTCCATAAAACTTCTTCTGCACTAAGAATAAGCCATCAACTGGACCAGCAACACACGTGAAATCAGCGACCCTCGGAAGCTGAAGGAGAGTTTTTTGTTCAGGGGTCACACCTGGAACAATTTCTTCAGGGAGCAAGGAGAATACAACAGACCTTACAATGGCGTCTACTTCACGTGCTACTTTCAAGTTGCAAACAAGGAGACGGGCACAATTGTTCTTGTGATGAAAATGTTTTTCTATGAAACTCGGACTTTTGATGAGAGCATACCAGTGCTTGCACACACATTTGAAACGCAAGAGTGATTCCACTGGCAATCTCAATAGAATATCAACTACTGGATCTTCTGGTAAAGGACGGCGACCATCCATACTGGTGGAAATATAAGTAGAATGAGGCAACTTACAAACATATTGAAAAAGGAAAGATCTAGAAAACATGCATTAATAGAACACACAGTGCAACAAAAAAGATCAAGTAGTAGCATTACCATGTGAAGCAAAAAATGGGAAGTTACAAATTTAACCACTCAGCCACAAATATTTACATCCGCAAGCCATTACACATATATTATGGGTATACATATTTTTAAAAATATTTTGACAAATTTTCTTGTAGATCAATTTGGGAGAAAAGATCCAAAATAGTTCCTTATGTTTGGCTTCAGACTCAAGGTCATCCCTTCCCTTTCTTTTATATGGTGCACTAATAGTCCTTTAAGTTTCAAGTATTAGTGCACTTTTAATCTCTTCATTAACATCCATTTACTCATTAACGTTTTGATCCTTTACACATCCATTTATGGCCTCCACTGTATACGTTCTGGTATAACACAAATTAATTGTTAGATTTATCTTAGCAATTGCAGATGAGTCTTCATTTGTACTTGTTTTATTTTTTGGCTCTGCATCTTTCATTGTTTGGTGTGCACCATTCAAGATTTGCTAATTCTTTAACTTTCTCCTCTATTTTCCATACGCAATTAATAAAAGTCTTTGGGTTTTCCTAAATAAAAGCTGACTATATATCTGAAGCATAACCAAAGAATAAAATAAAAACAAGAAAAAAGGAAAAAATCTAATACATACTTAGTCTTCGTGTATCAATATCTCAAATTAGCATCAGATAAAAGTGCAGTAATACTTAAAACTTTGGAGGACTATTAGTGCACCAATTGATGATTTCGAATCTAAAGCCAAAAATAAAGGACTATCTTGGATTTTTTCTTTCGATTTGGGCTGAAATGGGTTGGACGGATCAATAATCAGCCAAATAGAGTCAATAAGAGGAGACATGTGGTTTTCTAGTCTTTTCATTAACTAGTCAATAATTATTTTTAAAGCTACATATCAAGTTAGTATATAGAGCAATTTTGCAGTTAATTTAAGGATTAAGGAGCATGAAACATTAATTACCCTTTTCTACTAATATCAATCTACAAATCCTTGGAAATGGAACAATTTTAACTTACCCAATATTGAAATGTCAAAGATGGAAAGAAAATAAAAAGAATTAGCATAAACAGAAACAATGGCAGCAAAACCCTGTATCCATCCCCAAATAGCACAAATTCAGATTCAGATTCAAAAAAATAATCAGAAATCTAACCTTATAAGCTGATGAAGAAGAAGTGCCGCAATTACGACAAGGTAAAAATGGAAAAAGAGATATTGGATTGATTGAGTGGTGTTGTAGAAATACCTCCAACAGTTGACTACTTCCTCACTTTCCTACACTTCTTTTGTCATTTTAGTTTATATAACTCCCCTTAATTCCTTTTATCCAAGTTTTTAATACCAAGGAATATGATGGAGTAATAAATACTTATTCATTGTTAATTAGAGGTCTCGGATTTGAATCTTTTTGGCTATGAAGTCATCCGTGTTAGGGAGCACTTTACCCATAATGTGAGATTTTCCGACTGGGCTCTAATATGGATACCGAACATTGAGCGATTTTTTCTTTTTTTACCTTAGTGGTCATTTGGTAGGTGGATAAAGCTACATCTAATACATGAATCACTACAAGAAAAGTGCTGATTACTTTGGGATTTTCATAGGGATAATACGGTACAATCCCCAGGTAAATTGCTTACTTGTGGATTTTTTTTGCAAATTAAAATTTGATAGAAAAATCTTCGTAAGTAACTATTACTTGCGGATTTAAAATATTCCTAGGTAATTTAGTTGCGGAAATAAATCCACAGGTAAATTATTTACGGATTTATTTGCGATTAACTATCAAAATTTTGCAAGAATTATTTGGTAAAATTTTTTATGAAAAGGAGCTCGCCTGCGGCTTATAATGGAAAAAATTTGCAAGTAATCCCCCATGAAGATCTCCAGGTAAATCCGAAGGAATATTGGACGTGAAATTTCCTAATTAAAAAAAGAAAATTTCTTGCGATATTTATGAAACTATTTTGCAGGAAAATTCCTACGAAATACACCAAGTAAATCCGCAAGAAAAAATTGTTGCAAAAAATATTTAGCATTTATCCTTATGAAAATCTCCAAGTAATAATTCACATTTAAATCACTAGATACTTTAATAATTAGATAAAAATCTATTTCAAATCCCCAATATTTGTCAAAAACAACATTCAACAAGTCTAATGTAAACCATTACAACTAACAAAAAACATAATTCATAACATCCACATCAATAATGTATGATTCTTAAAATGGTCCAAAACAAAATATTTCAAATTTGAACCCTCAATAATACTACCAACTATTAGGGTTAGAATCACTTTCATCCACGTTATTAGGGTGAGAATCACTTTCATTCTCATTGTTAGAGTCATCATCGCTTTCATCCTCGTAAGTTTGGTTGTCTTCCTTAGATGATGGTTCATTTAAAGATGATTTGTTGTATACATGCTTCATCAACAAGTCCAATTCCTTCCTCATTTTCTTATTTTTGTGTCGCTCGTTCTGTAACTGAGCATACAAATAAGCATTTGAAGCATCTATCTTGGACTTAATCATCTCATCAATTTCTTCCGGCAAAGTTGATGTTGATTTCTTAGACGCCTTTATAGTTCGACCCAAAGAGCCAAGACCTTTGACTCTTCCTTTTTTCTTTCCACCGACAGATTGCACCAAGATATCCATTTCACTTAATTGAGAAGGCTGATTAGCTGAATTAGTTTCTCCTTCCACAACAGATGCACTTTGAACAGCCAATATTTCTTGCTTCTTTCTTTCAAACTGAGTCTGCATAAGAATAAGTTATTCATACCATATATAGTGCTAGTAAAAAATATATTGAATAATTTAATCCAATTCTTAAAATAAGCAAGCATGCATGCATCATTCATTAGCTTTAATATTAACTACCAGTAGTAAGTATATATTACCTTGAATAGGAAAAAAACAGAAAGGCGTATCAGTATTATAGTGTTGAGGGACCATGTTCCACTGGTTTAGTGTAATGCTTCAACCACAATCATTTAATTTTTTTGAAAGAAAATAATATAATATTCAACAGAGCTAACTTGTCACGGCGCTTCTCTTTCTGCATCTTTTCTTATCAATATCAACATATGAGTTTCTGATGAAGCGCGGATTACATGGCTAAGTAAGAATAATCTAAGAAGTTGAGAAAGATTGACCAGAAGAAGGTTGACCACGAAAGATAGGTTGATCAAATGGGGGATCGATGTAAGCGGTGTAAAAGGGCAGATGAAACTCTTGGGCATCTGTTCTTTCTCTGTCCAGTATATACGGGGATAACTACTAAAATGGTAGGGAATCATAAGACCTAGTTGGGATTGGCCAACGGAGCGTGTATGGTTGGAACATCATTGTGGAACAAATGGAGCTAATTCTATCATTTATCGAATGGCCTTAGCGGGATGTACATATCAAGTGTGGCAGGAGCCGAACCAAGTCATATTTCAAGGAAAGAAACGAACTTTGTCTACAATTGTGAGATTGATAATCCAAGGTATATACTACTATGTTTCCAAGAAGCCTAAATTGGCTAGAGTTTTGTCCAAGCTTAATTTCTATCCTTGCTAGAGCTAGATAGGTAGTAAAGGAGTTGGGATACTTTTAAGCAAACCACATAGATATGAACCATATACAGAATGTGATAGGTTAACATTCATGGACATAAAATGCTGGGGGAAACTAATGTTGATTGCAGCACAAAATTCTGAATCGATATGTAAATGACAGGCATAAACCAGTGATAGATTGCCAGTCAACAAATATAAGCAAACCACATAGATATGAACCATTCCACATAGAGAAGCACATTTTATGCTAGTTGACAGCAGAATTTGCTATCACTTTCTTGGCTAAAAAGGGAAGAAAAATAAAATAAAATGCCTAATTGGTGAAACAGAAATCACAGCCAGCAACTAGAATAAATAGTTCCGATTATTCAATAATGATATTAGTACAATAACAGTGATACTAATGCTTAAAAGCAACTGGGACATTTTCCATAGTGACTGTATGTTTTTTGTTACTTGAGCGTGAGTTCTCACTTTGTTAATAAAATTTCCGTAGTTAGGAAAAAAAACATATAATATAATATTTCCTTTACTACAAAAAAAAGAAAAGAAAAAGACAACCTGCCCAAGTACTAAAGCAACCAACTCGACTAGTAGTGCAACGAGAACAATTTTAAACATATAGTTGAAGGGTACACAACCATGTTTTGTTGACAAGTTTGCTATTGGAATTACTGGCTTACAATGTCCTTTGAACCTTCATACAGAGATAATGAAATATACAACAAACCACATGAAGAAATGAAGGGCCATGTTGAATTATAGCACCAGTACTCGGTAGTAATAGAATGACTCAATGGTCTTTGTAGTTGTAAAAATTAGTGGTTTTTTATATGCAACATCATATCTATTCATTAATGTTTACAACATTCATATATAACTGGAACAATCTTTAATAGTAACTAGATGATGACAACAAGTTTAAAATAAAAGAGCAGGACATCAAAATAACAAGGAACAACAACGATAAAGTCATTTGGATGCCTAGCACAACTGGCCAGTTTACTATGAGCTCTTCCAAAGATACAATCTGAAAAATGGAGCTTAAATAGACATACAAGCAGTGTTTGGCTCAAAGTTGTTCTATTCAAGATTTCGATCATAACTTGGAGAGCTATTCAATACAAATTGGATATAAAAGAAAGAGTGACAAAACTTGAAATTATTACTAGCTACTACACTAATAATACACCAGATCCTAGTATGGAGAACATTGATCTTTCACTTTTACTTAGTTTTACAGGTTAGGATGATTTGGAGCTTCCATCCCACATATTACTTTACTAAACTGAATTCAAAAGAAAAACAAGGATAGACGAGAGCTATGTGTCTTAAAGAACTACACAAAATATCAAATGAACTAGCATAGATAAGTGACCCCAATCTCTCAATATCTACTCCAAATAACTTATTTAAAGAATAGAGAACCGATCCCAATCTCAGAGATTTTCAAATCAAACAACTACCAGTAGACAGATGTGTGCATTACATCAATATTGTGGCGAACTGGATGTGTCTTCCAATATGGCAAATCCCAAAAAATATTTTTTTTGGTCCAATTATGTGATTTTCCATAGCCATAGAACTTGCGTGGACCAGATTCAGTGATCTTTGGAAACCCTTTCACTTTTTCCCACACTTGATCTCCAGTTAACCTAGGAGGAGGCCTAGACTTTTCCTCTTTTCCTTTATAAAAAGAATTCTTGTTTCTACCAAATTCATGATTGAGAGGCAAGAACTGACGGTTACAATCAAACCAAGTAACTTTTCTTCCATTTTTCAAGCTAAAAGATTTTGATTGTTCCATACAAATTGGACATGCTAATTTACCTACTGTACTCCATCCCGATAGCATGCCATAGGCAGGAAAATCATTTATTGTCCACATCAATGCTACTCGCATGAGAAAATTTTGCTTTTTTGATACGTCATAAGTTAGTGCACCATCTGTCCATAATATATAGTAGCAACTCATCTATTAATGGTTGAAGATACACATCAATTTTATTCTTGGGATTATGAGGACCTGGAATAATCAATGTTAAGAACATATATGGAGCAGTCATACAAATATCAGGAGGAAGATTATAGGGAGTAACAATCACAGGCCAACAAGAGTATGGTGATGCTGATTGACAGTAAGGAGTGAAACCATCAGAGCAAAGGCCAAGCCTAACATTTCTAGGCTCTATAGAAAAGTTGGGATAAGTTCGATCAAAATGTTTCCACGCTTCTCCATCTGAAGGGTGGCACAACACACCTTCTTCCCTGCGATTTTCATAGTGCCAACTCATGTGCTTGGCAGATCGTGTTGAAGCAAATAGTCGTTGAAGCCTAGGAATAAGTGGCAAGTAATGCATAGTTTTGTAAGGAACCTTTTTGCTACCCTTCTTTCCCACACGTTCTTTATAGCGAGGTTCTTTACAAAACTTACATTCTTTCAGCTCTTGATCAGCCTTGTAATATAACATACATCCATTAACACAACAATCAATCTTTTGACTAGTTAAACCAAGGCCTGACACTAACTTTTTTGCCCGATAGTAATCATGAGGTATCTTATTATCTGGATAACTTGTATCCTTCATTAATTGTGCCATTGCATTAAAACAACCATGAGACATATTGTATTCAGACTTGATACTCATCATCCTTACAGCTACCTGAATACTTACATTCGGGCCATAAGGGTTCTTGAGCTGAATTCAACATTTCATAAAATCTGGTAGCACCCATATTTGGAGACTCTTCTACAGTAGGCTCAACATGATGATCAAATTCTATACCCGCAGGATCATAAACCATACCTTGATATCTATTTACGTGTTCAGAGTTTTCTCCTAGAATGTTACCTTGACTGCTTGAAGGCATGTCAAAGCTACACCCTTGATGACTACTTGAATCACTTGAAAGAACATGTTCACTCAAATTAATTGGAGAGGCTTTCTCTCCATGTGAAGTCCAATACCAATATCTTGGTGTGAACCCCTTTTTGAAAACATGAACATTAACATCATCAGGTGTCAAGTGTTTCATGTTTTTACAAAGTTTACAAGGACACCTTATGACTTTCTCGGACAAGTACTTCGGTTGACTGCAAGCAAATTTAATGAACTCTTCCATGCCCTTTATAAATTCATCTGTATATGCCACTCGACTGGGAAGAAGTCTATTTATCATCCATTTTCGATGCTTGTGAACATTCATTTTCTGAACCAAAAGTAACATATATATTTATATTTAAGCACGTAATAATAGAATTTAGACGCTGGACAATTTCCTATTTCACCAAAAATTTCACTCTTTCAGTAACAAATATACTTGGGAGCGATTTCGCCTTTAATAAAAAGGACCTGCCTGTTACTTCGACTAAAGAATTTAAAAAGAAAAGGTACATTTTAAATCAAAACATCACAAAGCTATTCTAGCAAACCACTTTCGGCCAAATAAAATTTTGAAATCCAAATATTTTGATCCTTAATAAGTATTTAGAGAACAGTGGTTAGCAAGTATTTTGATAGTTTACAAGTATTTGCTATCAAAACAACACAATCCAACAATGGTTTAACATTCAGTAAAGGAAAAGCTTAATGAACCATTATTATAGAAGAAGAAGAAAGATCGATTGAATGTAAAATTAAAAAACCGAAATCAAATATTTAAAATAAATGTAAAGTTTAGAGATTAACCTCTGATTTCGGATAGCTCAGCAAGCAAATTGATTTTTGATTTTGTCTTCTTAATGAACCAACAAAGGCATGATAAAGAAAGAACGTTTTAGCTGAAGGTGGAGAGTCTTGAAATGTTATCTGAGGAAATGAAAGGTCACTGGAGGGAATTTTAAGAGGGAGTAAAATTTCAGCTTTCTTATTCTTTCTTCTTAATACTTGTTTTTATCATTTATATGTTTTCATACACTTTTTCATATTTCTATTATATAGAAAGGTGGAGACCAAGGACGATCAAGGCTAAAATGGTAATTTCACCACTATTCTAGAATCATCAAGCCATGGATGGCTAATGTTAAAATGGTAATTTCAGCAATATTCAAGAACCAATTAGACATGAGAAGGATGGGAAGACCAAGGTCAA